GTTCGCAGTGGTGCACAGAGTTGCTGCCCGAAACGTCGCCTGTTATATATTTTATTTTTTATTTTAAGGACACCGTGTTTATCGACGGACGTTTCGAACCGTTATTTTTTTATTATAATTTTATTAAGAACACCGTGGCAGTAAAATACAAATATATACTAGGCGACGTTTCGGACAATGGACCTGCACAGCACATGAATGGAGTTAATGATTGTGCTATGTGCTATGCGGACAGGGCCACTTGCTATGTGTGTCATGAATAAGGACTATTTCCCGAAACGTCGCCTATTGTATCGATATTTTTGTTTCTATTTAAAACCACAATGTTATTGACAAATGTGTTGAGGTGCTTATCTTTATTTGCTGCTGAACTTGGCGACCCGAGTTCGATTCCCGCTCACGGCCAACACCAGTGACGATTATTTGAACCGCTCCTGCGCCTCCCCTAGGTCGACTCAGCCTCAAATGAGTACCTGGTGCGGTATGTAAACATCGTCACTGGGGAGACAAAGGCGGTCGTGCTTGGCGCTGCCCACCAAGCCCCCTCGTGTACCGTTGCCGGTCTTCATAGGGGCTGCTCGCTAACGGCACTTGCCCCAACAGTCTGTTAAGGCTACACGGGGGATCTTTGTCTTTGTGTGTCACACGTTCGCCTCCCACCTCGCTCGGCGCGGCAGTTGAAACAATGGGGCACGTGTGGATAAAGGGTGCTTCAATAAAAATGTTAACACTCATATGGGACAATCGTTTTTAATGGAAAATTACGGATAACGCACTGTAACATGATAACAAATGTAATTTGGTTTTTTATACTCTTAGGTTTTTTCGGTAATGTCACGTAGGTAAAAAATAAAAGTAATAAAAGTAAAATAAAAATCACGACGTTTCGGAGGCAACACAGCACGATTGCTGTTTTAAGTAAAGAGAAATTCCAAGAGACCCGACCTTGTATATATATTCTTAGGTTTTTTTCGGTAAAGTCACGTCGGTAAAAAAATAAAAATTTAAATGAATAATTTCCTTTTATTAATTTAAATTTACATTTTTTACCTACGTGACTTTACCGAAAAAACCTAAGAATATGAATCCTTGCAGTCACGAAAGCTTGAAATCTAGAATTAATTTGGTTTTCTCAAACGGCCTATTTCTCTCTCTAAAATTGGCCAGGCTCTCATACGTCCATTCGCTCTTTCTCTCCCTCGGTCGCGTCGAGGTGGATTTCCACGCAACTCTCTCCAGAATGTACCAGTCTTGTTGGGTCTTTCATTGACGTGCTAATTTCTCTGATCCAGCAGCTGCCCCAGCAGACCCACCTCTTTCTCTGCCCCCCCCCCCCCTCTCTCTATTTAAGGCCTCGACACAGAGGCATTGGGTCTCTGTGTGTCTCTGTGTTGGCTGTCTGTGTGTGTGTCTCTCTCTCTGTGTGTCTCTGTGTTGTCTCTCTGTCTGTCTGTGTGTCTATGTTGTGTGTCTCTCTCTGTGTGTCTATGTTGTGTGTCTCTCTCTGTGTGTCTCTGTGTTGTCTCTCTGTCTGTCTGTGTGTCTATGTTGTGTGTCTGTCTCTGTGTGTCTATGTTGTGTGTCTCTCTCTGTGTGTCTCTGTGTTGTCTCTCTGTGTGTCTATGTGTGTGTCTCTCTCTGTGTGTCTCTGTGTTGTCTCTCTGTGTGTCTATGTGTGTGTCTCTCTCTGTGTGTCTCTGTGTTGTCTCTCTGTGTGTCTATGTTGTGTGTCTCTCTATGTGTCTCTGTGTTGTCTCTCTCTGCTTGTGTGTCTGTCTGTGTATCAAAGTGTGAGTCTTTCTCTCTCTCTGTTTGTATGTCTCTCTGTGTGTCTATGTTGTGTGTCTCTTCTGTGTGTCTCTGTGTTGTCTCTCTCTCTCTCTGCTTGTGTGTCTGTCTGTGTGTCTCCGTGTCTGTGTTTTGTCTCTTTATCAAATTTAGTTCTACCTGATGACGGTTGCTTGTGTTGCAATCGAAACGTCGTATTCTATTTAATTCATTTTCTTTCTACGTTACTTCACCGAAAGAACCAAAGAGTAACAAATAATAAAATAATAAAAATAAAACAACATTCTCACGACGATTCGATTGCAATACAAGCAATCATCAGCAGGTGTGAAAACCACAGCAATAAAATTTGAATCGAAACGTCGTGAGAATGTTATTGTTATATTTATATTATTTTCTTATTTCCCTTCTACGTGACTTTACCGAAAGAACCAAGAATATGAATCCCTGCAGTCACGAAAGCTTTTAATAAAAACAAATGTAATGTTAATAGCTTCAAAAAGTCAAAGAGTCTCCACTTGTTCACCATCATTGTCAACGCGTGCCTGGAATCTTCTCCAGGTGGTCTCCAGAGCTCAAAGGGCACGTTCCTTGTGATCTCGTTACAAATTTCTCAGAAGTGTTAAAAAACATTTTTTGAAGCAGCCCTGTATTATTGTCATTAGGGATGTCTGGTTCATCTGCGTGACGCGTACGCCCAAGTCACGGAGAGAATCGGCCCAACGATCCAAAGGCAGCAGCAGCAGCAGCCGCGCTGAGCGACGAGACCAGGTTGAATATTGAACCGATTCCATCGATGAGCAACAATTGGCCACGTCGTGCGAGATGCGTTTGATCGTGGGAGAATTGATCCAGAGGAGGATCCGATTCCTGATAACCCCGGAACTCCCAACAGACTTTACCCCACCCACCCCCTCTCTCCCTCCCCGGCTCTCCCCAAAGACAAAGATCCCCCCGATAGTCTTAACCGACTGTTGGGGCAAGTGCTGTTCGCGAGTAGCAGCAGCAGCAGCAGCTATGAAGGTCACCGGCACTGTGGCACACGAAGGGGTGGGTGGCCAGCAACCACGCCCGGCCGCCTTTGCCTCCCCAGTGGCGATGTTTGCACATCGCACACAGGCGCTCATTTGAGGCTGAGCCGACCTAGGGGAGGCCCAGGATCGGCTCAGATAACCGTCACCGGTGTTGGTGGCCGTGAGCGGGAAGAATCGAACCCAGGTCGCCGGGTTTGTAGCTCAGCGCGCTCACTGCCTTCTCTTGGACCCCCACCACCACCTCCTGCCAACGTAAACTCATCAACATGTCAAAAGAAAATCGCTGCGTGGACTTAAAATAAAACATACATGACAGGCGACGTGCCACGCAATGCCCCTTCTTCGTGGCACGCGAACCAATCAAGAAGGCCCACTGCCCGGAACGTCGTTTATTTAATACATTTGAGAATTTGTTTCGCGCTGAGCCACTCACCCCACCACTCACCCCGCCACTCACCCCGCCACTCACCCCGCCACTCACCCCGCCACTCACCCCGTCACTCACCCCGTCACTCACCCCGTCACTCACCCCGCCACTCACCCCGCCACTCACCCCGTCACTCACCCCGCCACTCACCCCGCCACTCACCCCACCACTCATTCCACCACTCACCCACTACTCATCCCACCACTCCTGGAGCTGCACAGCGGGCCCGCGGGCAGACCGCGCGCCTGTTTAGCGCTCGCCAACAGCACTTGCCCCTACACTCTATTTAGGCTACACGGGGGATCGTTGACCTTTGTCTTTGCCTGTGTGCGCGCGTGTGTGTGGGGGAGCGGTGGTGCAGCGGTTAGCGCGCTGCGCTACGAACCCGGCGACCCGGGTTCAATTCCCGCTCACGGCCAACACCAGTGACGATTATTTGAACCGGTCCTGGGCCTCACCTAGGTCGACTCAGCCTCAAATTGTTGTTGGTTGTGCACCACTGCCAACGCAGCAGCAGCAGCAGCATCGGCGTCAAGTTAATGGTTTTTTCTGGGTCGCGTGGTGTTCGTTAAAGAAACGAGAGATCACACACCGCTCCGATCAAACGGATTCCTTTGACAGAGGCAGCCGTAATATATCGTACAATTGAGATGTATTTGGGGCGAGTTTTTGCTGAAATATTCATGCACGTCCGAAATTTTACATGAACTGCAACAAAAAAATATATATCTCCTGCAACCGGTTTTTTTTGCGTAACCGGTAACCGATTGGCGAAATCGGTTAAACCGGTTACCGATTTTGCCGCACATTTCGAAATGCCGTTTTACTGTTTAAATAAAACAACACAGCAACGGAGGAACGTAAAGATGCTGCCACCACCGTGTTGCGTAACGGCGAGCGCGTCCTCTGCCTCGCCACCCATCCATCCGTGGATACCCATCTCCCGGCGCGGCAGCTTGAGACGTCGCCACAACGGCCGCGCGCGCAATCAGTCGCAAAGAAGACACAAAAAATAAAATGAACTGAAACAAAAAACACACGGTTACCGGTTTGTGACTTTCCTGACGTTTCGGAGCCGGTGATCGATCGGGGAAAACGGTTACCGGTTTAGCGGGGTGAACACTTTGCATCCCGAGAAGGAACGCGCGCGTGGTGGGGGGTGAGGTGGTGTTGTGGTTAGCGCACTGCGATCCCGGCGACCCAAGTTCGATTCTCACGACCCGAAAAAAAATCACAAGTAGCGAATATTGGAACCGGTTCTGGCCCTCCCACTCTCCCCCTCGCTCCCCCCCGCTCCCCCCACTCCCCCCCACTAGGTCGACTCAGCCTTAAAACGAGAACCTTCTTGCGGTGTGTGAACACCAGCGTTGGAAGGGAGACAAAGGCGGCCGGGAGCGATGCTTGGTCACTCAAACGTACCCGCGGCCTTCATAGGGTGCTCGCGAACAGCCTCGTTGAAGGCGACACGGGAGGGATCTTCCTCTGCTGTGGCTGTGGGCATGTTGAAGATGACGAGGTGGGGGGTGGAGGAATTTTAGATGAGAGGCGGGGAGGGGAAGGGGACAGGAGGAGGAGGAGGGTTGTTGGAGGATTTGGGAGGCTGGGCTGTGTTGAAAAGAAACGCATGCGCGAGACACGGATACACGCACACACACACACGTGCGCGCTCACACACACACACACGTGTACACGCACACACGAATATAAATACACGGGGCGCACACTCGCACACAGTCACTTGAACCTGTGCGGTGAATAGATTTGGGTTCAGTCAGTGAGCATCAGCAGCAGCAGCAGCAGCAGCAAAGATATTCACCCATTCACGCTCACACACATACACACCGGCGTATCGGTTAAAGCAACATCGTTGACGAATTGGTCGGAGGTACGTACGGAGTACAGGTACACATGCACAGGTACACACGCACAGGTACACAGACATACCCACCGATATCTATACACACACCCATTCACACACAGACATACACACAGATATATATCTACACAGGTACACGCACAGGTATATACACAGATACGCACACGTCCACACACAGACGCGCGTTATCTAGAGATATGTGTACTGCTGGTACGTGCACAGGTGTGTACATCTTGATAATATACATACAGTTACCATCGCGCGCGCACAGGTGTGTGTCTGCCTGTGTGAACCCCCGTGTGTGTGTGTGTGGGCATAGACCGGTATATTACACACACACACGTGTACGCACACACACAGAGGTACACCTATGCACACATGTAGATTTTCATACACACACGAAACGCACACACACACCCACACGTACACTCAATACACATACACGCACGACCACACACAACACACACACACAACACACACAACAACACACACACGACACACACACATAGAACACACACACAACACACACACGTACATACAACACACACACAACACGCACACACACACAACACACACACGTACATACAACACACACACAACAACACACACACACAACAACACACACACATGACAACCCACACACAACACACATACAACAACCCACACACAACAACACACACACAACACACACAACAACACACACAACACGTACACACACAACACACCCACACGACAACACACACACACCTGTATGCTGAGACGGGAACGCTCTTCTTACCTGTGCCGGGTGTCTCGCAGCCAGTCGCACCTGCGCCATGGAGCGAACCGAGATCGGAAGCATCGACGCCGCCGCCTTTCTGCGCATTTGGCAGCACTTCGATGCGGACGGTAAGGTGAAGGCGGTGCCTTGCCGCGTGTGGCGCGCGTAGGTCGACTCGGCCTCAAACGAGCACCCTGGCGCGTTGTTGTAAAGGCGGCCATGCGAGGTTGCGGCCACGTCCTACCTCGTGTGCCGTGCCGACCCTCGGAGGCGCTGCTGCTGCTACTGCTGCTACTCGCTCACAGCACTTGCCCCGATAGTTGTATCAGGCTAAACCGTGAGAGCTTGATGTGTGCGCGTTGTGTGTCTACGTCGTATGTGGGTGGTGTGTGTCTGTGTGTGTGTGTGTAACAGGTGCTGGCTCTCAGCACTTGCCCCAACAATACTTGAGGCTATACGGGTGCCTCTGTGTGCGTGCCTTTTTGTATATCGGTGTCGGATATCTCAACCGGTCCTGAGCCTCCCCCCTAGGTCGACTCAGCCTTAAGTGAGTACCTGGTGCTCTCAGTTAACATCAGCGCCGGGGAGACAAAGGCGGGCGTGGTTCTGGCCACCCACCTCCTCGTAGGCAGATGTCGCGCCTTTATAGGTGCGCGCTAACCGAACTTGCCCCGACAGCCTGCTAAAGGCTACATTGGGGACCTTTGTCTTTGTGCGTCTCAGAAGTCCGCCAACCCCGAGATCGAGTCCAGGTCACGGCCGACACGCGTAGAGAGTTCGATCCGAGCACGTCCCTGTCATTCATGGGCTTTCCCCACGTCTTCTTGGTTCTTTCGGTAAAGTCACGTAGAATGGAAATAATAAAATAATAAAAATAAAACATAATAAAATAATTCTCACGACGTTTCGGCCACAACGCAAGCAGCCGTCCTCAGGTGAAGAACAGGTCTGTCGAGAAGACAGAGTCTGAATGACACGTCCTAGGCTTGGAGCGTCTATTTAGGCTGGGAGGGAGGAGGAAGAGCGCCTTGCAAAATAATTTGCATATCAAGAGAATTTTTGCATATTTACGTAATATTACCCTATGTAATATTCTACCCACCCTACTGCACACCACACTGCTGCATATTCACCAAGAAGATGAATCCCTGCAGTAACGAAAGCTTTAAATCGAAACATCCATACCTAGCCATGTCCGTGAGATCCAGGCGTCCGTCTTGATTCCGATCAAACAGCTTCATCTGAAATCGTTTCGCACAACCGACAGTGTCACACAAACACGCGCCTTTCACCGGCTCAGCCGGCAGGCCGTGACGCAGCTGCTGAGTGCGCAGGCGGTCCAACTGCACCGCGGTTGGGGAGATGCGGGGAGGGGGGGGGGCGTTTGCCCACGGGCCACGTGGACTCGCTCACACGGCGCTCCTCTCGATGATGATGATGATGATGATGCTCGTTCGGTGCTCAGTCCGCTCGTCATGGTTGAGGGTCGTGTTGGCAGCGTGGTGAGGAGTGGCGGTCCACACCTCCCACTCGCTGGCGATAGATACACTACTATACACTACACTATACACTTCTATACACTACTACACTATACACTAATATACACTACACTATACACTACTATACACTACTACACTATCCACTACTATACACTACTACACTATACACTAATATACACTACACTACTACACTATCCACTACACTATACATTGCTATACACTACTACACTATACACTACTACACTATACACTACTATACACTACTACACTATACACTACTATACACAACTACACTATACACTACTACACTATACACTACTATACACTACTACACTATACTCTACTACACTACACACTACTATACACTACTACACTACACACTATACACACTATACACTACACTACTATACACTACACACTACTATACACTATACTATACGCTACACTATACACTACACTATACACTACACTATACACTACACTATACACTACATTATACACTACACACTACACAGACTCGAGTGCTTCTTGCGGAACTCCGTGGTGTCCCGAGGCACGCCGAGACATCAGCAGCGTGTCCTGGGCCAGCCCCGGGGTCTTCCGATGTTGGTTTACAACAACAACATCAGCACGAGGGAGACAAAGTTACAACAACAACAACAGCATCAGTACGAGGGAGACAAAGTTACAACAACAACAAACACATCAGCACGAGGGAGACAAAGTTACAACAACATCAGCACGAGGGAGACAAAGGCGGCCGCGCGCGCGTTAGCCATCCATACACATCTCTCGCAGTGACGTGTACAACCTTAATAGGTGCTCGCTAACAACACCATCCCCCTTACCAATCGACTAAACCGACACACGCGTGTGTGTGTGTATTTCACGTGTGAATTCTTTGGCTATAAATATATCAAATAAGTTAATTTAGGAGTTTACAACGTGACATTTTAAATAATAATAATAGTCATCATCACACTGTGTTTCGTTTCATCCCTTTGTAAGCAACGTAGCTTGTGTGTATCATCTCGCAGTCGGTGTGTGTGTGTGTGCTTTATGTGTGCGCATATGCGTGGAGCGGTGGCGCGGTGGTTAGCGCACTGCGCTACGAACCCGTCACACACCAGTGACGATTATAATCTGAGCCAGCCTTGGCCCCTCCCCTGGGTCGGCTCAGCCTTAAATGAGTACCTGGTGCGGTGTGTAAACGTCAGCATTGCCAAGATAACGGCAGAATTGTCATTCTAGTAATGAGTCGAATATCATCATCATCAGCAGCAGCATGTATTATCATAATCATCAGTAGCAGTAGGATAATCATCAGCAGCAGCAGTAGGATCATCATCATCAGCAGCAGTGTGATTACCATCATCGTCAGCAGCAGTAGAATCATCATCATCATCATCAGCAGTAGGATCATCATCATCGGTAGCAATAGGATCATCATCATCAGCAGCAGTAGAATCATGATCATCATCAGCAGCAGTAGAATCATGATCATCATCAGCAGCAGTAGGATCATCATCATCAGTAGCAGTAGGATCATCATCAGCAGCAGCAGTAGAATCATAATCATCAGCAGCAGTAGGATCATCATCATCAGCAGCAGTAGTAGAATCATACTCATCAGCAACAGTAGAATCATCATCAGCAGCAGTAGGATCATCATCAGCAGCAGCATAATCATCGTAATCATCAGCAGCAGTAGCATAATCATCGTAATCAGCAGCAGCAGTAGCATAATCATCGTAATCAGCAGCAGTAGCAGTAGCATAATCATTATCATCATCAGCAGCAGTAGTAGATTAAACATTATCATCAGCATCAACCTGAGCTACTGCATTGCAGCTGTGTCCAACTGTGCTTGTTGTGGTTGTTGTGGTTTGTGCTATAAGAGTGGTTGGTGTTGTTAGTTGGTGGTGAAAGTGGATTGTATGTTTAGTGTTGCTGGTGTGGTGAGTGGTTGGTGTGGTGAGTGTTGTTGGTGTGGTGAGTGCTGTTGGTGTGGTGAGTGCTGTTGGTGTGGTGAGTGTTGTTGGTGTGGTGAGTGCTGTTGGTGTGGTGAGTGCTGTTGGCGTGGTGAGTGCTGTTGGCGTGGTGAGTGCTGTTGGCGTGGTGAGTGCTGTTAGTGTGGTGAGTGCTGTTGGTGTGGTGAGTGTTGCTGGTGTGGTGAGTACTGTTGGTGTGGTGAGTGCTGTTGGTGTGGTGAGTGCTGTTGGTGTGGTGAGTGCTGTTAGTGTGGTGAGTGCTGTTGGTGTGGTGAGTGCTGTTGGTGTGGTGAGTGCTGTTGGTGTGGTGAGTGCTGTTGGTGTGGTGAGTGCTGTTGGTGTGGTGAGTGCTGTTGGTGTGGTGAGTGCTGTTGGTGTGTGGTGAGTGCTGTTGGTGTGTGGTGAGTGCTGTTGGTGTGGTGAGTGCTGTTGGTGTGGTGAGTGCTGTTGGTGTGGTGAGTGCTGTTGGTGTGGTGAGTGCTGTTGGTGTGGTGAGTGCTGTTGGTGTGGTGAGTGCTGTTGGTGTGGTGAGTGCTGTTGGTGTGGTGAGTGCTGTTGGTGGGGCGGCTGTGGTTGGGTTGGAGCAGTGATGAGTGAATTGGCAGTGTGCTGGTGGTTGTGTGGTGGTGTGGTTGTGTGGTGGTGTGGTTGTGTGGTGGTGTGGTTGTGTGGTTGTGTGGTGGTGTGGTGGTGGTGTGGTGGTGTGGTGGTGGTGGTGTGGTGGTGGTGTGGTTGTGTGGTGGTGGTGGTGTGGTGGTGGTGTGGTTGTGTGGTGGTGGTGTGGTGGTGGTGGTTGTGTGGTGGTGGTGTGGTGGTGGTGGTGGTTGTGTGGTGGTTGTGTGGTGTGGTGGTGGTGTGGTGGTGTGGTTGTGTGGTGGTGTGGTGGTGTGGTGGTGTGGTGGTGGTGTGGTGGTGTGGTGGTGGTGTGGTGGTGGTGTGGTGGTGTGGTGGTGTGGTTGTGTGGTGGTGGTGTGGTGGTGTGGTTGTGTGGTGGTGGTGTGGTGGTGTGGTGGTGTGGTTGTGTGGTGGTGGTGTGGTGGTGTGGTGGTGTGGTTGTGTGATGGTGGTGTGGTGGTGTGGTGGTGTGGTGGTGTGGTGGTGTGGTGGTGTGGTGGTGTGGTGGTGGTGGTGTGGTGGTGTGGTGGTGTGGTGGTGTGGTTGTGTGGTTGTGTGGTGATGTGGTGGTGGTGTGGTTGTGTGGTGGTGTGGTGGTGTGGTGGTGTGGTGGTGGTGGTGTGGTGGTGGTGTATTTGTGTGGTTGTGTGGTGGTGGTGTGGTGTTGTGGTTGTGTGGTGGTGGTGGTGTGGTGGTGGTGGTGTGGTGGTGTGGTAGTGTGGTTGTGTGGTGGTGGTGGTGTGGTTGTGTGGTGGTGGTGGTGTGGTTGTGTGGTGGTGGTGGTGTGGTTGTGTGGTGGTGGTGTGGTGGTGTGGTTGTGGTGTGGTGGTGTGGTGGTGTGGTGGTGGTGTGGTTGTGTGGTGGTGGTGGTGTGGTTGTGTGGTGGTTGTGTGGTTGTGTGGTGGTGGTGGTGTGGTTGTGTGGTGGTGGTGGTGTGGTTGTGTGGTGGTGGTGGTGTGGTGGTGTGGTGGTGTGGTGGTGGTGGTGGTTGTGTGGTGGTGGTGTGGTTGTGTGGTGGTGGTG